CGGGCCCGCAGCCCCGCGAGCATCCCTCCCGCGCGGGCGCCGCCCCGCCCCGCCCTCCTGGCCACCGCCGGCGGCCTGACTCCCGCTCTCGGGCCCGTTTTGCAGATGGGAAGACTGACGCTCGCAGCCCTCAAACGCCTCGCGCCGGGCCCCTGAGGGCTCGAACCCCAGTCTGGCGGGACCGGGACCGCGACCGCCCAGGCGGTCCCCTTCGTGCTGGATGCGGCTCAGCTCTGATGGAAGCCGTGGCGCGGAGGCGAGGGTTTTCTTTCTGGTTCCCAGCCGCCTCCCGCAGGATCCTCCGCTTTGATTTCCGACGGGGAAGCCCGAGGCCGCTGGGCTGGGCGGTGGGGCTGGGCTCAGCCCGTTATTTCTGCAGCTTTTGGTAGCTGACCAAGTGCGTTTGGGAAATGCCCTCCTGGGCACAGCGTCGGAAGCCCTGGCTCCGTGGACTTGCCACGCAAGTTTCTCCCAGCATGACTCGCTCTGTGTACTCTGTGCAAGTTGTTTCACCTCTGGGGAACTCTTTCCTCATCTTTCACAAGAGGGAGCTAGGCCAAGTCCTGGGTACCTGGCAGCTTTGACGTTCCTGCACGGCTGAGTGTGTCTTCGTTTTGCGGGAATAGGCCGGGGACCATGATTCCCATTCTCCGGCTGAGAAAACGGAGGCTTGGAGAAGTACTGACACTTGCTGGATCAGAACCTAGAGCCTTCAGAGTCTTTGCCACGCGCCTTCTCAGTTGCTCCCTTACCCACTGCCACCAGCAGCCCTGGCTGGCCTCCCCCATGTCACCCTTTCCCTGTATGTGATGCAAATTCTTGTGGATGTGCTCAGCATTGCCATTCACTGGCGGCTACAGCTTTCTGTGCCCTCGCCCTGCTCTACTGGCGAGCTCTTCAGCGCACTCTTTTGCACACCTACCCGAGGGCAGCACCCTAAACTGGGTGCCCAGAGATGTGGGCGTTGAGGTTAATCCTTGCCCTACGACTGCTGACAAACTGATTGGGGAAGAGAAAGATAAACAGGACCTAAGCAGCGAGTCAGCATGCCGCAGATGTTTGCAGACAGCCTTGTGGGCGAGGAATCGCCCCAAGGCGGACATGGGAGAGGAAGTGGAGTAGAGACAGGCAAATCAGGGCAAACCACACGCTAAAGCCAGGGAGAGGAGAAACGGACTGGAAGGGGATGGATCTGGGAAGGCTTCGTGGAGGAGGTGAGTGGTGGGCCTTTTTTAAGTGCCGCCGGCAGCAGAGAAACAGTGATTAGGATTGAGCAGAGAAGGTTTTATTATAATGGAGGAGAGATTAAAAAAAAATTTTTTTTTTTTTGGCCAGGCTCGATGTGACTCAGCCTGTAATTCCAGCACTTTGGGAGGCCGAGGTGAGTGGATTGCCTGAGCTGGCGAGTTTGAGACCAGCCCAGGCAACGTGGGGAGACCTCGTCTCTACAACATATCAAAAATTAGGCTGGGCTCTGTGGCTTAGCCTGTAATCTCAGCACTTTGGGAGGCCGAGGCGAATGGATTGCCTGAGCCCGCGAGTTTGAGACCAGCCGGGCAACTTGGGGAGACCTCGTCTCTCCAAAAAAAAATTAGCCAGGTGTGGTAGGGCACGCCAGTAGTTTCGGCTACTTGGAAGACTGAGGCGGAAGGATCACCAGAGCTCAGCAGGTGGCCGCTGGGGTGGCCATGAGCACACCATTGCATTCCAGCCTGGGTGACAGAGTAGACTACAACTCAACAACAACAAAAAATATATATATGTGTATATGACATATGTCACATATATACACACACACATATATATTTTTAGAAGCTGGGCTTGCGGAGGCGGAGGCGAGAAGATGGCCTGAGTCCAGGGGTTCGAGACTAGCCTGGGCAACCTGGTGAGACCTCGGCTCTACGATAAATAAAAAAATTAGCCGGGCATGGTGGTTGCACCTGTGGTTCTAGCTACTTGAAAGACTAAGGGAAGGATTGCCTGAGCCCAGGATGTTGAGACTGCGGTGGCCATGAGCATGCCACTGTACTCTTGTCTGGGCAACAGACTCAAAAAAAAATTTTTTGTTTTAGAAAAGTCTCGCTATGTTGCCCAGGCCGGTCTCAGACTCCTAGGTTCAAGGGCTCCTCCTGCATCGGCCTCCCAAAGTGCTGAGATTACAGTCCTGAGACACTGCCTCCGGTCTGGAGGAGAGATTTTATTGTGGAGGTTTTAAGCAGCTAGAACCTGCAGGAGGAAGGCTGAGGAAGGTAGGAGGAGAATGGGGGTGGGGCGGGGATAATACTTTACAAGTGGGTGTGAGAAACTTGGTTGTCCTTATATGACAGGGCATATAAGCAGGTGAGGACACTGGGATTTGCTAAGGCGCAGGTCAGTCATTGACTGGAAGCCAGCATGAGGAAGATGGGATCCCAAGGCTGCTGGGGCTTTGGTGTGGGACTCCAGGGCCAGCTGCTGGCCCAAGCTACAGGCGGTGTGGCCCACAGTGTTCTGGTGAGGCCTTGAGAGCCACCAGCCTGTCCTAATGGTTGCCTCACCCTTCCGTGCCCTGCCCTTAGGGAAGGAGTTTGTCCAGACAGTTGCTCTGTGTCTCTTTTTGGAATTAATTTCGGCTGCCTTCCAAAGTTTCCTCAGTTTGCCCTCCTGTACCCACTATGCCTTCTCTTTTCTCTCTCCTGAAGCCTGTTGTAGCCTGGTCGGCCCTTCCTGTGGTGGTTCTCACTTCCAGAGTTGCCCAGGAAGGCTTTCCCGTAGCCCACGGTGGGTTCCTCCTGCCTTTCATGTACCAGTACAGGTGGTTTGCTTTTTTTTTTTTTTTTTTTTAATCTGGCTTCTTCTTTGTCCCTTTCTCACTTTCAGTGTCCTGGGTGCTGTGCTAAGCGCCTGGCCTCCCAACACCACTCCCAGAGGCTCTGGGACCAGTGGTAGGGCCTTAGACCCTCGTCTCTCATTCCATGGCACAGTGCTCTCTCTGTGTTCCTCTTCCCTGTGCCCTTGCAGCCCCTTACAGTTCCGGGACCGAGTAAGTGCTTCATACGTGTTTTGGGTGAATTTGTAGAAAGTGGCTCAATTTGGAAACCAGTGAGGAAAGAAGGGTGGAAGTTGTGGGGCATGGAAAGGAATCGCGTTTGGGGACAGCAGGGATAACTGTGGGCAGTGTGTCAGTGACTCTGGAAGTCCTGGGCAGGCCCCCAGCCTGTCCCTGTCTCCTGCCAGCACCTTTCCGCATGAGCTGGGTGTCTCATCGGGTCAACATTTTTGTTGAGGATTAGTGTGGATTCTTCTCTCTGGCTGCCTCCCAGTTGCTCGTTTCAGAACCAGACCCCTTGTCTCTTATCCCAGAAGTGGCTGCTTCGGGACAAGTTTCTCATCCAGAGGTGTCCTTAGTAGAAGTCCAGCATTTTGCCCGCACACCTTGAAGGCTCACCTGAGCCTGACTCATCCCTCCGCCTCTTTCTCCTAGCTGCCTTCTAGTCTCAGCTGTGGATACTTTGCCAGAGGAGCAGAGCCTGAGAGTGAGAGGTGGAAATGACAAAAGAACAAGCCATTTCCTCTTAGTGAATGAAAAGCTTGCCTTAACTGGGTGCGGTGGCCTCCGCCTTTAATCCCAGCATTTTGGGAGGCGGAGGCGAGAGGATTGCCTAAGCTCAGGGGTTTGAGACCAGTCTGGGGCAACTTGGCGAGATCTTGTCTCTACAATAAATCGAAAAATTAGCCAGACATGCTGGCACACACCTGTGGGTCCAGCTACTTGGAAGGCTGAGGCGGAAGGATCACCTGAACCCAACAGGTCGAGGCTGTGGTGGATGTGAGCGTGCCACTGCATTTCAGCTTGGGCGACAGAGTGGGATTCCAACACACACACACACCCGTCAAAAGAAAAGCTTGCCTCATCTTGGCATTCGAGACTCTCTAATTTGATTCTGCCATTTGGACTGTTTCTTCCATTTGACCCCAAGACATCCTTTTCTGCCTCAGCCCTCATGTGTCTTCCCTGTTCTCTTAGACTTGCTTCTTGGTGTCCCTCTCTGCTCTTGTTCTTGGTGACTTTGTTTTCTGCAGGGTCTTTCCTCTTATCTTGTCAACATTAAGTTCTTCAAGACTCAGGGCTTTCCTTTATTAAGCTTTTCCAGATCTGTTCAGTTTGGCTTGGCTCACTCTCTTAATAATAATGATGGGCAAGTGCAGTGGTTCACGCTTGTAGTCCCAGCACTTGGGAGGCCGAGGTGGGAGGATCACTTGAGCCCAGGGGTTCGAGACTAGCCTGGGAAACTTAGCGAGACCTACTTGTACCAAATAAATTTATAAAATTAGACCGGGTGTGGTGGCTCACGCCTATAATCCCAGAACTTTGGGGGGCTGAGATAAGAGGATTGCCTGAGCCCCATGGGTTTGAGGCCAGCCTGGGCAACTTGGTGAGACCTTGTTTGTACAATAAACCAAGAAAAATTAGCCGGGTGTGGTGGTGCACGCCTGCAATTCCTGCTACTTGGAAGGCGGAGGTGGAAGGATCACCTGAGGCCAACAGGTTAAGGCTGTGGTGGCCATGAGCATCCCACTGCACTCTAGCCTGAGTGAGAGAGTGAGACTCCAACTCAAAAAAAAAAAAAAAATTAATCAGGTGTGGTGATGCATACCTATAGTCCCAGCTACAGGGAGGCTGAGATGGAAGGATGACCTGAGCCCAGGAGGTCGAAGCTGTGGTAAACCTTGCTCATGCCACTGCACTCCAGCCTGGGCGACAGAATGAGACCCTGACTCAAAAAAAAAAAGAAAAATGATGATGATGATGATAAATAATGATTTATTATTGTTAGCAATAGAAGCCAACCTTTATGAGCGTTCACCGTGTGGCGACAGGAACCTTGCTAAGTACCTTATGTATGTGTATTGTCTCATGGTTATCACAAAGGTACTGTTAGACCATCTTTTATAGATGAGACACTTGCACACATGAGACACAGGGGCGAAATCACTTGCCCGGAGTCTTAGGGCCAGGGAATGGCCTGGGCTCGCCGGCTCACTGCTTGAGTGCCTCTCAGAAGTCATCCCGCTGGGCTCGGTGGTTCAGCCTGTAATCCCACGCCTTTGGGAGGCTGAGGTGAGTGGATTGCCTGAGCCCGCGTGTTTGAGACCTGCCTGGGCAACTTGGCGAGACCTCATCTCTACAATAAATCAAAAAATTAGCTGGGCGTGGTAACGTGCACCTGTAGTTCCAGCTACTTGGAAGGCTGAGGTGGAAGGAACGCCTGCTGGAGCAGGTGAGGCTGCGGTGGCTGGGAGCGGCCACTGCACTCCAGTCTGGGCGGCAGAGTGAGACTCCAACTCAAAAAAAAAAAAAAAAGTCATCCCATTTCCCCCTTATTTTGGCTAGCCACAGCAACATGTTTTCTGGCACTTGAGGGGCAGAGCCTGAGTGTTCTGGCGTGGAAGGCATATGCTCAATAAATGTTTAATTGAATTGAGTGTCCGAGATACTCAGTTGCAGCCTTGACGTAGTCTACCAGGGCCACTGGTTTTCTTTGAACATGGATTTGATTGCTTTGATGGCTTGCTGGCCTGCTGGCCTGCATTTCCATCCTGCTGTCTATTGACCAGTGGCTAGAACTGTCTGACAGGTGTGACCTTTTGAAAATAAGCAGGTGGTGAAGTCTGAAAAGTGGTTGCACATTACCAGGTGTGGGCTCCTGTGGGCCTAAGCATGGAGTGTGCTCTTACTGGCAAGGCGGGGAGCTCTGCAGGGAAGGATCTGGGGAAATAGCCCGGAAATAGAAGACACATCTCGGGTCACGTAAGACAGTGGTTCATTAGTGTCAAATTGAAGAGTGAGACAGGAACCAGACTCTGTATTCAGAGGGGGTAACTTCCGAAAGATTAGAGACAGCTCTGAGGAGAAAGGGGGACTGAGGCTGGCAGGAGTGGGCAGGAAGAGAGAGCACTTCAGATAAGACAAGAACGGTTTCTTTTTTTTTTTTTTGAGTCGGAGTGTCACTCTGTTGTCTAGGCTGGAGTGCAGTGGCACACTCATGACCACTGCAGCCTCGACCTGCTGGGCTCAGGTGGTCCTTCCGCCTCAGCCTTCCAAGTAGCTTGAACCACAGGCATGTGCCACCACGCCCGGCTAATTTTTTGATTTATTGTAGAGATGAGGTCTCCAAGTTGCCCAGGCGGGTCTCTAACCCATGGGTTTAGGTAATCCTCTTGCCTCTACCTCCTAAAGTACTGGGATTACAGGCGTGAGCCACCACGCATGGCTGACAAAAACAGTTTCTAGAACTTCTTGTTCTTGTGTGGTAGGTACCAGAAGAGGCTTTTACTTAAATGCTTCCTACTAAACCTGTCGGCTGAAGTCCTAGTGTGTTCCCTTTGTGCCAGGCATGGTGCCAGTGCCAGGGTTCTAGGGAGTGCCCTCATTATTATTCCCATGTTACAGACGAGGAAACAAGCTATGAGTAGTTACAGGAGTGGGCAGCAGGGCTGCAAGGGTGGAGACCAGGAAGTTGGACAACAGAGCCCGGTGCTCTCTTTACCAGAGACTCCCCTGGCGGAGCGAAAAACCAAGACACGGTTCTCTGGGTTCCAAATCTATGTTCTTGCCACTGCTAAGTTCTCTGGGGAGTGCTGGGAGAAATGAGGATGACACTTTTTTTTTCTTTTACTTTAGATAGCGCCTGCCTTCTGGAGAGCTGACGGAACACTAAGGGTAAGTCCTCTGCCTGAATCCAGGCCAATGGATGTGTGGGGGTCTTTCCCAGGCGCAGCTGTGGGTGCTAGCAGTTTGGCGCGTCAGGGCTCACGCTCCATCAATAAAAAAGACCACGCTGTGATCTTTGGATAATATCTGTTTAAGCAATTCTTGTCTGTTCCTGGTCTCTCTTGCAGGAAAGTGACATCTGGCTCCCTGCTGACTCCTGTTGGCAGCTGGCCAGGCTTAGCAGGCGGCCCTGCTGCTGGAAGGGTGTGGCTTGGGAAGCTGGGCAGAGAGGGTGGTAAGGCCTCCCTGGACCTCCAGGAAGACTTGCTGGGCCTAGGCAGCCTCTGAGAAGACCCCTTGAGTCAGCGTGGAGAGCAGGCAGCTGCCAGCTGGTTATAGAAACACACATGTTCCCAGAGGATAACACTCAGCCTTTACCAGCCACAGGGACACGAGGGTGAAGGTGGTCTCATCTTTTCCTCTCCCATATATTGGTCAGGCAGCACTGCCCTGTGTAACCTGCTTTTAAGGTTTCCTCTGATGAGGACTTCCCTGATTGCAGGTGCCTGTCTGGGGGATCCAGTTGCATTTCCTGAGCCCAAATTCCAGAGCCTTCTGGGCTGGGCTCATCTGATCGTCCAGTCTGACCTCCCTCCACTGCTCTGCGGGAACAACCTAGCCAGCCAGCCAGCCAGCCAGGCATTCTCTGCGCATTTACGACACTGATAATGCTCTTCCCTTCAGGCCACCTGCTGCCCTGGGAATTCTGACTCAGAGACAACTTTCCCCAGAGCTCATGTCCAGACTGAGCGGGGATTCCTGGGTGTGGGGCTTTTTCTTGACTTTCCAGCCATCATGTAGGGATTTTTCTCTAGGGACCCTTTGTGACCAGAGTTGGTTTCCTCTTTTGCCCCAGGTGTGGGCCAGCAGTGGCCGTTTTCTGCTCTGCAGTTGAGCTTGCTTGGAGAAGCTGATTGAGCAGGGACAGATGGGCCCAGGGTGGACATGACTGTACCTGGTAAACTGCACCTTCCAGAGTTCCCACCACCCTGCTTGCCCTGTTCCCTAATGCTTGGTTGATAGGGTTGAAGATGATTTCTCTTACTTGCATTCCTACCTGGAGAGGTGGGGGAGGTCACCCCACCCGAGTATCTCATGGAGCCAAAGAAAACGAAGCCCAGAGAAGCCTGGGTAGCGGAATCCAAGATGCTGATCCTGGTTTTTTTTTTTTTTCAGATTGTCATCTTTTATTAATGTCTTCCCAAAATCTATCAATAGGAAGGAAAAGTCAGTCACCTTCTAGGTCATCTCATGTGTCAAAACTTGTTTGGCTCCGGCCCCTTAGTTCCCAGGGCCCTGCTGACTCCCCAGAGCTTTGCCTAGTGACCATAACTAAGGATCTGTGATCTAAACTTGTCACCCTCCCCTCCTCTTTTTTTTTTTTTTTTTTG